AAAGAAAGAAAGAAAGAAAGAAAGAAAGAAAGAAAGAAAGAAAGAAAAGAGTTGAAAACACAAAGTCAATTAAGCCATTTCGGCAAGTTCTACCATCTTCACTGTCCACTCCTCCATTGCAGGTATTTCTGTATTCTTCCATTTTTGTACATATAATAATCTCTCTGCAGTTACCATATATAAAACCAATTGTCCATGAGTCTTTTTTAGTTGAGTGTCCATAAGTTCTCATAAGAAAAATTCTGGTTTCATGATAATGCTTAGCTTTCTAGATCAGCCAAGTTGGCTTTGCAATTGTGAATTTCCAGAAAAGGAGGGCACGTAACCTTCCCCATCTTTCACTCTGCAGCGGTGTGAGGGTTCAGTTCCCAGAGTGACAGTCCTGCTTCTCAGACATTATGGATTTGGCTGAAAATTGTGAGTAGAAGATGCAAGAGAAAGTTGACCTAAATGAACTGGCAAGATCATTTGCTGTTCTCATTGGTTTCACTCCTACTGATTTCATTGGAAGTCACTTCCAAGTAAGAGTCCGTAGGCTGACAGCCTCAATCAATTCCAACAAAGGATTGGCCTGGGTTGAATCATTTCTCATCAACCTGCCTGCTTTTTTTCTTGGTTAGAAGATGTTTCATGGGAGCTTTGAAGGATGGGGGGAGAAGAAACACTCTCTAAACACAAAAGCGTATCTCAGTATCTTATCCCCAGATCATGAACCCTGAAAGTGTTCTCTCTGGTCCACAGTGCAGAAGGAATCACCGTGAGCATTGAGCGGTTGATAAATAATGCATTTCCTTTGTTTTGCAGGAATTCTGGAGGCCGAGGTGCAGTCCGATCAGCAGCGAGCAGTTTACATAGCAAATCTAATAGGTTCGTAAATTAGTTGGTGTATCCTTTGGTTTCTGCTCGAAGGTGCTATTAATCTGCTTCCTCGTGCCATTTTCTCCTTTTTCGACGGGTGGGGGGAATGCTCTGTTCACTTACTCTGTAGATCTGCTTCTTTCCATGTTTCTGAGGGATTTTCTGCCCCAAGACTACACATCCCCTTAGGCCATGTTTGTTTAATTATGGTTTGTGACTAAGCCACAATTTGCTGAGTTCACACATCATACTAACCCATAATGGTTCTGGCAAACCATGGATGGCATGTGAAGCCAGCCAGTAACTTGTTGAGAGAGATGAGTACAATAAACAACTGAATCTCTCTTGGGTTGAAATTCATCTCTGCCCTTCCTGAAAGCTGTCTGTATCTCTGTGTGATTACCTGTTGTAATGTTGCCCCCTTCAACTTAGCATCTGATGGGAACAAGCAAGTTCTCAGCAACAAGAACAAACAACAACATTTGTACCTTGCTTCATGTGTTCAGATTTTAGCTTTGGAGAAGTCCTTCATTTGTTTATATTACAAACTCTGGGAAAAAATTTAAATGCCTGAAAAAGTAGGTAGCATGCAGAAATCTACAACTTCCCAAAAGTTCTCCTGCTGAATTTTCCCCCCAATTTCTCATGGTGATACTTGTGAATCTGCTTGAGATTTGAAGGTGGTAAAGGAACCCACTGCTGATTTTTTTTGTTACAGAAGTCTCCATGCTGTTAAACCTCCCCAACAGACCCCGGTTCCTGATCTGAAGAAGATAGTGGTGTCCTGGGGGGGAGGGATGGGGAGTCTAGGTGGCAGCGATTTCTGGTAGACATCAAACAATTGGGGGAAGATCATGAACCCACAGTGGGCACCACATACCCAAATCAGAGCATGAAACTTTCTCGAGCAAATCTTCTAGAATGGATTTGGATTATGAAAAATACAATCCTGTAATTAAGAAGTTGCAAAGAGATCTTAGACAATTAACAGGGATGGACACACTCTGTTTTTTTTTGTTTTGTTTTTTGGAGATCATCTACTAGGTGACAAAAATAGATCATTCCCAAGAATAAGCCAAAAACCAAACTGGAATGGGCCTAGTAGGCAGCCAAAGATTTGGCTACTTATTTAGAGGTCCAGAAGCATTATCTATCGGCAGATAGATAGATACTCCCTGCTTGTTCCGCTACATGAAATGTTGTTTCAATTACAAAGAAATCATCAGAGAATCAGAGGCCTGCCACTGGGCTTCCACAACTTTTCCAAGCTGAAACCTTGAGCAAGATTTGCCCCCCTCTGTTGTCAGTGGGGACTTGCATCGTGAGCAATTTCGATGTAGCCCTGTTCCAGTTGTGTTACAGCCACAATGTTGAAGGTGCTTCAAAGCAACCGATGCTACTTCAGAGACTGCAATGTATTGTTCCCTTGCCCTTGGGAGGAGTTTTATGGTTTGCCTGCCTCCCACCTCTGAAAATCTGTTGTAGCAGCATGCTGGCAAAGGAGCCCCAAAAGAAAGCTGTCAGCATGCCCTCATTAGACGATTTGAAGGCAGTGGAGACTTGCCGGTTGCCATCATGGCCACGTCCTAAACACTGGAGGGTGTTAGCAATATATTCTCTTTTATTAAAATGAAAAAGGGGAAAGGCATATGTTGAGTCATTGACCTGAAGGAGTGGCATTCAGTTACCGGTCAGAAAATCAGCACTGATTGGCGGACAGTTCTCTAAGCTCAGCTGCTGGGCAGAAAGGGCTGGTGGCTGGTGACTCTCTGTAAGTTCTACACTCCTAGATATGAAAACAGACTCATGCTTGCATCCTGGGGTCCAGATAATCAGGAGTAGCCTGGGTCATCCTCAGATGCAGTTTAAACTGAACTCAGAAGAGTTGGGAAATGAAAAAGCTGCTCATGTAGAAGAACCTCATGTGCAGATAATTGTGCTCTGTGCATTGTTGCCAAAGTCTCTTGGTTTGCATTGGACGATGCTTCCCAGATTTGTTAGCATTATAACTCTAGATCAGCATGGGCCAGAGTTGCAAATATAGAGGATGTCAGGTTGGGTAAGACGGGCATCGTCCAATGCATAGGTTTGATTGTTTTTTCATGCTTGACAGAAGAGGTGAGTGGGTGAAGAGACCCCTGGAAAATGTAGCCTATTGGAAGCAAGGTGTGGGAAGAAATATATGAAGTCTGCATTTAATTTCACATTTTCAAACTAATATATAAACCAAAAGTTACCAATTTAAATATGCAAATTTTATTTTTACTCTTATAATGATAAATCTGGGCTTCTGCATGTATCTGTGAAAATAATGTTCAAAAAATGCCTTGGGGGAAACTGCTTGCACAAGCTGTGTGCATTAACTTGCAAACAAACTAAACCTCTTCAAGAAAACACATACCAAATTGCAACTAAATTGTAGTGCAATAAAGGGCATAGACACGGAAGTGAGAAACTGAATTGAAAGGTTCAAAAAGAGGTAAAATGGGGAGAAATCAAGACTGATCGATTCACTCCTCCCAAATGACACCAACAAGAACCCACCACAGTGGTGTTTGGTTGCCTGCCATTGAAAGAGAAACACGAATGGGAGAACCAAGCCAATTTCTAACTCTGATAGCTTCAATGAGCTCACTTCTCAGGGATTACAGGCTGGCTGGCATAGGCGAGCAATCAGATGGATATTGGGAACGCTACTAATAAATCCTACTTTTTCTCTCTCTCTCTTTCTCTCCCTCCCTTGCTCTCCTTTTTCTCTCCAGAACCGACATGATAGTAAATGGTTCTTCATCTCCAGCTGTGGTTGAGCAAAGTCATGAAAGCATTAAGCACCGTGACAAGACAGTTCCACCCCAGTGGATACACAATCAGACGCTGTCACTGACCATCAGGTATGGGGAATGGCCCACAGGGACAAATCTCAGCCACGGTGACAGATGCTGGCAACCTTCAGCAGATACAAAAGCCAAGGTGGGTGCTAGTTAGGTGGTGGACTAGGAGTGGAACAACCACGGGTCAAATCCACTGTCAATTCATGGGGTGAGTTTGGGCCTTCCAAATTATAGACGTGTTTCGAATCTCCCTCTTGACAAATGTCCCCATATGCAGCTGCCTAACCCAACTGATTTTGAAAACAAACAGAATAAAATTGCTTGAAA